CCTCGGCCTCCCAAAGTGCTGGGATTACAGGCTTGAGCCACCCTGCCCGGCCGCTAATTTTTTTTTGTAGTAGAGATGGGGTTTCACCATGTTGGCCAGGATGGCCTCAATCTCTAGACCTCCTGATCTGCCCACTTTGACCACCAACAGTGCTGGGATTACAGGCGTGAGCCACCGCACCCAGCCAATGTGAGCAGATATTAATGGCTTTTCCACATTCCTTACATTTGTACAATCTTTCTGAAGTATAAATGCTTTCCTGTGCAATACGGAGCATTTATTAGAAATGCTGCCACATTCTTTACACTTCTAGTTTTCTTCAGTATAGATTTTCTTACCTACAATCAAGTGTGACAACCATTTAAAGGCTTTGTGAAATTTTTCACCAGTATGATTTATGTGAGAAAGTTTGAGGTGTTGTCAAAATCATCATCACATCTTTCAGGTGTCTGAAGTTTTCAGTATTATCTATCTTATGTTTATTGAGGTTTGAGGATTGGTTAAATGTTGCCACATTATTCGTATTTTCATAGTTTCTCTCAAATATAAATTGTCTTATGTGTAGCAAGGTGTGAGGACCAGTTAAAGGCATTGCCACATTTTTTACATTTGTAGGGTTTCTCTCCAATATAAATACTCTTCTATGTACTGTTGAGAATCGGTTAAAGGCTCTGCCACAGACTTCACATTTGTAGAGTTTCTCTCCAATATGAATTTTCTTATCTGCAGTAAGGGTTGAGGATAGGTTAAAAGCTTTGTCACATTCTTCACAACTGTAGCATTTCTCTCCAGTATGTATGGTTAGTAAAGTATGAGGATTGGTTAAAAGCTTTGCCACATTCTTCACAATTGTAGTTTCTCTCCAGTATAAATTATCTTGTGTAGAGAGGTGTGAGGACTGATTAAAGGCATTGCCACATTCTTCTCATTTGTATGGCTTCTCTCCAGTATAAATTACCTTATGTTTAGTAAAAGTTGAGGACCAGTTAAAGGCTTTGCCACAGTTTTGACATTTGTAGGATTCTCTCTGGTATGAATTTTCTCACATTCTGAAGGTTTGAAGGTAAATTAAAAGCGTTGCCACATTCTTTACATTTGTAGGGTTTCTCGCCAGTATAAAAGGTCTTCTGTGTAGAAAAGAAGACTGGTTAAAGGCTTTACCACATTATTCATACTTGTAGTGTTTCTCTTCAGTATGAATTTTCTTATGTGTAGTAAGTTTTTAGGATGAATTAAAAGTTCTGTCACATTCTTCACATTTGTAGGGCTTCTCTCCAGTATGAATTTCCTTATGTGTAGTAAGATTTGAAGATAGGTTGCAAGCTTTGCCATAATCTCCACATTTGTAGGGTTTCTCTCCAGTATGGATTATCTTATGTATAGTAAGAGATGAGAACTGGTTAAATGATTTGCCACATTCTTCACATTTGTAGGGTTTCTCTGAAGTATGAATTTTCTTATGTGTAGTAAGGTTTGAGGACTGGTTAAAAGCTTTGCCACATTCTTCACATTTATAAGGTTTTTCTCCAGTATGAATTTTCTTATGTGCAGTAAGGGTTGAGGACAGGTTAAAAGCTTTGCCACATTCTTTACATTTGTAAGGTTTCTCTCCAGTATGAATTATCTTATGCCTATTAAGAGTCGAGGAGCAGTTAAAGGCTTTGCCACATTCTGCACATTGGTAAGGTTTCTCTCCAGTATGAATTCTCTTATGTATAGTAAGGTTTGAGAATCGGTTATAAGCCTTTCCACATTCTTCACACTTGTGGGGTTTCTCTCCAGTATAAATTCTCTTATGGTTAGTAATGTTTGAGAATAGGCTAAAAGCTTTTCCATGTTCTTCCAATCTGTAGAGTTTCTCTCCAGTATGAATTATCTTTTGTGTAGTAAGATGTGAAGACTGGTTAAAGGCTTTGCCATATTCTTCACATTTGTAGGGTTTCTCTCCAGTACGAATAATTTTATGTAGAGTAAGGTGTGAGGACTGTTTAAAGGCCTTGCCAAATTCTTCACATTCTTTGAGTTTCTCTTTAGTATGAATTATCTTATGTCTACTAAGTTGATAGGACTGATTAAAAGCTTTTCCACATTCTTCACATTTATAGGGTTTTTCTCCAGAATGAATTCTCTTATGTTTAGTAAGGGTTGAGAATCGGTTAAAGGCCTTGCCACATTCTTCACATTTGTAGGGTTTCTCTCCCGTATGAATTTTCTTATGTTCGGCGAGGTTTGAAGACTGGCTAAAAGCTCTGCCACATTCTTCACATTTGTAGGGTTTCTCTCCAGTATGAATTTTCTTATGTCTAGTAAGGGTTGAGGATCGATTAAAAGCTTTTCCACATTCTTCACATTTGTATGGTTTCTCTCCAGTATAAATTTTCTTATGGTTAATTAGGTTTGAGGGTTGGTTAAAAGCTTTGCCACATTTTTCACATTTGTAGGATTTCTCTGGAGTATGAATTTTTTTATGTTTAGTAAGGTTTGAAGATTGGTTAAAAGCTTTGCCACATTGTTTACATTTGTAGGGTTTCTCTCCAGTATGAATTATCTTATGAATAATAAGAGTTGAGGACTGGTTAAAGGTTTTGCCACATTCTTCACATTTGTAGGATTTCTCTGCAGAATGGATTTTCTTATGTTTAGTAAGGTTTGAAGATCGGCTAAAAGTTTTGCCACATTCTTCACATTTGTAGAGTTTCTCTCCAGTGTAAATTTTCTCCTGTTTCTTAAGGTTTGAGGATATGTTAAAAGCTCTGCCACATTCTTTACATTGGTAGGGTTTCTTTCCAGCATGAATTCTCTTATGGTTAGTAAGATTTGAGAATAGATTAGAAGTTTTTCCACATTCTTCACATTTGTAGAGGTTCTCTCCACTAGGAAGTATCTTTTGTGTAGTAAGGTGTGAGGACTGACTAAAGACTTTGCCACATTCTTCACATTTGTAAGGTTTCTCTCCAGTATGATTTCTTTTATGTATAGAAAGGTGTGAGTCCAGTTTAAAGGCTCTGCCACATTCTTCGCATTTGTTGGGTTTCTCTTCAGTATGAATTATCTTATGTCTAGTAAGCTGTGAGGACTGGTTAAAGGCTTTTCCACACTTTTCACATTTGTAAGAATTCACTCTAGTATGAAATCTTCTACGCTGAGTTAGTTGTGAAAGCATGCAAAATGATTTGCCACATTCTTTACATTTGAAATGTTTATTTCCAGTATGTCTTTTCTTATGTCTATTTGAATTTGAAAATTTATGAAAGACTTTCACATACTTATTACATTGGAGTATTTTGCCTGGGGTAGCTGTCAAACATTGGTTAACCCTGTTATAACCTCCTTTGTACTCCATACACTCATCCACACTTTTACAGCCTTTTTTTAACTGTAAATTCTCATGCCCACATTTTCCATATCTTCTCAGTGTCACATTTTGGAAAGAATCTTTTATGTTCTGCTCTGGCCAAAGGTCTTGGGCAAAATGAAAACACATAACTGAAAGAAATAAAAATAAGACATTACTCCACTTGCTAGACACAGATGAATATACTTTACAAATTTAATCTATAAAATTATACAAACTACATAAGCAAGATTGCATAGCAAAATGCCACAGGCTCCAATTTCTTCACAGACATATAACTAAAACATACTGACCAAAATACATTTGTGGAAAATTTATAAATAAGTTCAGTGTGTACAGGTCCCCAGGGGGCACAATGTGAAGAGCCACATAGAAGAAAAAGACAAGTCTGTTTTGTTTACCCAACAAAGCTCTTTCTGTTCCCCAATATAACATAGTGCCTTTAGAAGTAAATTGCCAACTCCTGGTTTCATTGTTAAAAGACAAGATAAATAATAACAAACATATACATCTTTATTTCTGGGTTCTGTGTCCCTTTGCAGACATTGGTTTCTGTCTCCCATGACATAAAGGGCTGAAAGAAATGGTGGTGTACTTTGGAATGACATTTTGAGTCTGCTGAAGTCAAAGGTAAATGTCACAGCACTGAAGAGACTGCAGTAGAAAACAGTTGTAGCAAGTGATTACTGACTATTCAGAAGAAACATGAACAAACTCTTTTAACTAAAAAAAAAAAAAAAAAAAAAAAAAAACCTAGAAAATCTTAGAGAAGACACATCCTAAGAACATGTTTGAAAGACTCTCAGGATGACTAGTCAAGACAAATGGCTTTAGACTATGCCAGGACAAAGCTGCATTATAAAGATGGTGACAGAGAGCTTGTTTTTACCAAATATCAATTAAAGATTACAATGTATACAAAATATTAGGGCAATACAGCCCATCAGAAATTATAAAATTTTCAGAAAGCAACCATTAAAAAATAAAAATATACAAATTAATTTTAAAAATTTAAAATAAATTGAATAAAACATGAGTGAATAGGAACAGAGACAACTACTAAAAATCAGAAAAATGAGAACAAAAAAAATATTAAAAAGAGCAGGAACCAGGAATTGTGGAGGTAAAAATACCAAAAAAAATTAAAAATTTAAAAGAAAAATTAATGTAAAATAAAGACACTCAACAAACTATAATACACACAAAGGTATTTATAACAAACAAATATGTAAGCAAAATTTCAAAACTCACAAACAAGAGAATCTTGGGAACTGCAAGATGAAAGTGATGTGTGATTTATAATAATAGTCTTATGAGATAGCCAGTAAATATGTCAAGAAAATTTCACAGGCGAGAAAGGAACTGTGATATAGTCAAAGTCCTGAAAACAACAGCTGTAAAGTGAGAATAGTAACAACTGTCTTGCCAAATACCTTCCAAGTAAAACACCTTCCAAAAATAACAAAATTTGGCCATGTGCAATGGCTCACGTCTGGAATCACAGCACATTGGGAGAACAAGGTGAGTGGATCACTTGAGGTCAGGAGTTCGAGACCAGCCTGATCAACATGGTGAAACCCCATCTGTACTAAAAACACAAAAAATAATTAGCGAGGTGTGCTGGTGCACTCCTGTAATCCCAGCTACTTGGGAAGCCGAGGCAGAAGAATCACTTGAACCCGAAAGATGGCGGTTACAGTGAGCCAAGATCATGCCACTGCACTCCAGCCTGGGCAACAAGAATGAAACTCCATCTTAAAATAAATAAATAAATATATATATGGGAAAATTCTGAAAATATATTTTGGCACTGCCTATGCCCTACATATCAAAGATGCTGAAAGGAGTTCCTTCCACTGAAAATGACATGATGCAAGAAAATAACACACAATCATATGAAAATACATAACTTTCTGGGAAAGATATGCACATATACAATAATGTAATTTTGTACCATTATCATAATGGTGCAGAAAGTATTTTTAATTATTCTCTGACATGTGAAAGATAAAAGAATACAAATTATAATAAACATCTGCTAATGAATATGTAACATATAAAGATATAATTAGCAACCTCAATGACAAGGTTGAGGGCAGCCGTATGAATAAGAATTTTTGTATGCAAATAAAGTTGATTTTTAACTAGACTATAATATACTGTTTTATCTTGTAGAGGTTTTATGCAATCTCCAAGGAACCACAAAGGATATATTTGTGTAGACTGACAAAACAAAATAAGAAAGAAATAAAAGCATATAAATACAAAAATCAAAAAGACACAAAGGAAGAAAGAGAGAAAAGGGACTAAGAAACAAGAATCAAATTAAAGAATAAAACGTTAGCAAGTCTTTCTGTTTCAGAAGAATATATATAGAGTTAACTTTACTTAAATATCTGTATAATAAATCAAGAGACATACTTTCAGCTAGGCACAGTGGCTCATGCCTTTAACCCCAGCACCTTCGGAGGCTGAAGCAGGTGGATCACCTGAGGTCAGGAGTTTGAGACCAGCCTGGCCAACATGGTGAAACCCCATCTCTACTGAAAATACAAAAATTAGCTGGGCATGGTGGTGGGTGTCTATAATCACAGCTACACAAAAGGCTAAGGTGAGAGAATTGCTTGAACCCGGGAGGTGGAGGTTACAGTGAGCCGAGATTGCAACACTGCACTCCAGCCTGGGTAACAAGAGCAAAACTTTCTCGAAAAAAAAAAAAGAGACAAACTTTCAATAATGGAATTAATTAAAAAATTTTGAACACCAAGATCCAACTTGACTTTCTTCAAGGGTAAGCTGAGATATAATTATAAAACAAGACTGAAAGTGGTACGATGGATGTATACATTCTACACAAATATTAACAAAATGAGAACAGAAGATGTCTAAAAAATTACACAAGATACATCTTAAGTCAAAAACTGTTATATTTTATAAAATATACCATAAGTCAAAACTCCAAAGAGAAACATTAAACAGTAATAGATTCATTTACTAAGAACCTGTGACAAATTTGTATATACATGTGTGTTGCATGTGTGTTTGTATCTCACATTGTGGTAGCAAACACTGACAGAATAACAGAAATGAAACACATAGAGAACAATATAGTAGGATATTTCAATACCCGACTTTCTACAATAAAGATAAAACAAGATAGAAAATGAGGGAAGAGAGCACCTGAAGGCAGTAAAAAACAAATACATTTAACAAAAATACAGAAAACACTTCTCAACATTAGGATACACACGCTTTTCAATAGCTATACAACAATCTCCTTCAAAGACCACCTGGTAGGCCAAATAAGAAGTCTTAACAAATTTTATAAAACTGAATTTCTTTTTTTTTTTTTTGAGGCGGAGTTTTGCTCGTTACCCAGGCTAGAGTGCAATGGTGCGATCTCGGCTCACCACAACCTCTGCCTCCTGGGTTCAAGCAATTCTCCTGCCTCAGCCTCCCAAGTGGCTGGGACTATAGGCATGTGCCACCATGCCCAGCTAATTTTATTTTTAGTGAGACAGGGTTTCACCATTTTGACCAGGATGGTCTCGATCTCTTGACCTTGTGATCTACCTGCCTTGGCCTCCCAAAGTGCTGGGATTATAGGCGTGAGCCACCGCGCCCGGCCAAAAACTGAATTTTTATGGATTACTTTTTATAACAAAAATGAAATGAGAATATAAAACAATAGAAAAAAACTTAAAAATTTACAAATATGTAGAAATCAACACACTCTTGAGCATGCTCTTGTTCAAACATTGAAATAATACTGTGAAGATGATACATACTGCTTAATCTACTAATTTAATGCAATGCAAAATTCACTGCATTTTTGAAGAAACAGGAACCACAGAAGTATATAAAATCTCAAAAGACATTAAAGTATACAATTTTCAAAAAAAAAAAAAAGAAAAAAGTAATGTTAAAGGCATTGCAGTTCTCGATTTGAAAACACATTACAAAGCTACAAAGAATTAAATAATTGGTATGAGTATAAAGGTAAAAAAGTTGGCTAATAAAGTAGAATGCAGTACATATATAAACTTTCACATATTTGATCATAAGAGTAATTTGCATACCCATAATCATTGCAGCAACATCACTGAAAGCACATAAGTAAAAACAATGCAAATTTCTGTCACCAAACCATTCAGTAGATACAATGTGAAATACAGAAATACTTGAATATCACCTAGGATTTAAAAAGCAGGAAATATTCTAACTACTATAAAGATAAAGCTAGAAGACATCATACAAAATGAAATGAGCCAGCCACAAAGAGAGATTGTATGAGATATACAAAGCAGATATATAAAACACTCCTAGAAACAGAAAAGAGTGGTGTTTAAAAAGTCTGACAAAATGGGAAAAACTGGTAGTTGTTTAATATGTACTGAGATTTAGCTTTGCAAAATAAAAACATTCTAGGGATATGTTGCATAACACATCAATATAATTAAGATGACTAAATTGAATATTTAAGAATACTTGATTGTCGGCCAGGTTTGGTGGCTAATGTCTATAATCCCAGCACTTCAGGAGGCCGAGGCAGACAGATCACCTGAGGTCAGGAGTTCAAGACCAGCCTGGTCAACATGGTGGAACACCGTCTCTACTAAAAATACAAAAATTAGCTGGGTGTGGTGGCAGTCACCTGTAATCCCAGCTACTTGGGAAGCTGAGGAAGGGAGAAATGCTTCAACCTGGGAGGCTGAGGTTGCAGATACAGAGTTATGACAGTTTTTGAGCTATCTTTCAATCCAAACATTTTTCTCCCACACAAAAACACAGATTTAAAAATAACTAAATGTTAGCCAGGCGTGCTGGTTCATGCCTGTAATTCCAGCACTTTGGGAGGCTATGGTGGGTGGATCATCTGAGGTCAGGAGTTTGAGACCAGGTTGGCCAATGTGCTGAAACCCTATAGCTAATAAAAATGCAAAAATTAGCTGGGCAAGGTAGTGGGCACCTGTAATCCCAGCTACTCAGGAGAATGAGGTGGGAGAACTGCTTGAACCTGGGATGCGGAGGTTGCAGTGAGCCAAGATCAGGCCACTACACTCCACCCTGGGCAACAAAAGCAAGACTCTGTTCTAAAAAAAAAAAAAAAAAAAATACCTAAATGTTGAAA